CGTGTCTGTTTTCCTGTCAGGCTAACACAAGGATTTTATACAGCTTTGACTTTCAGTTACGAAGAAAAGGATAAGGGGAAATGAATCCATAAGTTTTAAGCCTTAGCACATAAAATGCTTACATGTATAAGCAGCTCTGCTCATAAAGCCAAATCAATAAAGTCACATTCATGTTTTAAATTGCCAAGTGAAGCTGTGCAGATACTGAAGTGAATTTGATCAGGCATCCAGCTAAAGTCATCCCTATTGCAGATAAAGCGCTCCCAGCACACAGGGCTGCACTGAGCCGTCGGGACGGCTCAGCCCAACTGAGGCAAGTGGAGGGTTTTCAGTCTAGTGTTACCCCCCAAAAAGCCCCCCCAATAGGGCACCCACAAAAGAGTCACCAGATGTGCTCTGAGCCCACAAAAAAGAAATTCTTACTCGCGTGTTAATCTTGTTTTGTAGTTTTATGACTACGCTGGTTTTCTCCAGAGAACATCTGCCCAATGGAAATAGCACTAACATGTACAGTAATTCCATTCCAGTTAAACCTTTTAACCTGCTGCATTTTCCAACTAATCTGGAAGGCCAGGTTAAAAGGCAGGGGCATGATAAAGGTGTACTGAAGAGCAAAGCCCAAGCTCCTCTTTTTAATACAGGTGGTTCTGGAGTAGAGGGACGAGTGAGAAGTTGCTGCACTGAGGTGCAGGTTTCCTCTATGAATACGYGGAGCTGAAGGCTAACGGCACCCTCAAGTACCCTCAGGTACCCTTAAACTTATTACCCTTATTATAAACCCTCAAGCTCATTATACYGTCATTAAAAAAGGGCAGAAATGACAAGGATTCCTCAGCATCCAGAACAAAACAGGGTCCCCTTCAAGGGGGCAGATGAAGAAACCACCAGGTTTCCACACCGCTGTGCCCAAGAGACCCCACTCACCCCGCTGGCGCATCCCGAGATACAGCAGCACAAAGGAAGAATCCCTTAGAAACAGGCTACTGTTTTAAATCAGCTCCAGTCTGATCTAAAGCAGACAGAAGTCTGCTTTAAAGCTCCAACAGCCACTACACAAAGATTCAAGCTGACAATGCCTGGTCAAAACAACACGTCTGCATTTTCGTAGGACAAAAACTGTTGTAATGTTTTTCACAAATCCTACTGGCTATCAACAGATTGAGGCAGGATTAAACAACGGCACTTGGACAAACAATGACACTCAGAAAACACACGCGTGGAAGTGTTTGCAAAGAATAAATAAGAAAAAAAAAAGTCACCCTTTCTTACAGAGCAGGGTCTCTGCAGCTGAAGGGAAATCTCTGAAGCTTCACTGGGCTGATGAAGGCCACACCAGTACTGAAGGGAAAGAGTTTCATGCAATTGGAGAATGGCTCAATTTTCTTCAACACTGTTTTAGAAGGGAACCGTGTATACTCTTGGACAGAAAAGAATCATTCCTGCTCCATTCCCTGTCCTTTGAACAGGGAGTCACCACAAATCCCACACTGCTTATTGAGTAATAAAAGGTTTAAAAGTTAAAGACAACTTAAGGACAAAATAATGTAACTTTAAGGCAACTGTTTTAAGGCTACTATAGTTTTCCAAGAAAGAAGTTTGCTTGCAAAGTCAGCAGAAAATAATTAAAAAGCAAAAGTCTAAACTCTGTGTCTTCAGCCAAGTTTGCTTTGCTTAGTAATTCAGCTCTGTTCAGTTTCTTTACATCTCAATATCCATATTTCACAGTCAGCACAGCGCATTAGTGCTATGGGACTGTCAACAAGTCCCACAGTTGGTTTTTTGTTTGTTTTCCGGCAAGTGCTGCCTTGCCCAGAGGCCTGGGCTGCAGCCCCACTGCTCCCCACCGAGCTCCTCCTCTGACCTCCTGGCAAAGCCCAGCGGGCGGCCGGGCTGCTGTTGGTGCCTCTCTCTCCGCGTGTGTACGGAGAGACCACGCAGGGAAGAGCYGGGAGCCGCTGCCAGATGCCTCCCTTTGGTGGGAAGAGCCCTTGGAGGAGCTCTCACCAGCGCCTCAATCGCAGCCGGAGGGCAGCACAGGGGATCTGCAGCCAACCTGAGAAGGAATCGCTACCTCCCCAGCGAGCCCAAAGGCAGCAGCTCAACCAGCACAACTGCTAATGGCAGTAGCAGGCGGGAAAAAGTTAAAGTCTTCATGCAGCCATAAAGCCTTGGATATCAAGAGGCAGCATATAGCTCCTTGCTTGCTCTACACAAATATTTAACAGCCTTTTAGAGTGCAGAGACTACAGGAAGAGCATCCTCCCAACCRGCAGCTCTGCTTTCTTAAGGCACTGATCATAATGTCATTAATCCATCCAGAGGCCAACATAGTTGTGAAAAAACTCAAGACATGGATAAGGCCTCTTATTAAAAGACAAAATACTGTAGATATTAGAGCTGTTAAATATTTAGGCTTCTAAAATGCCTMATTGCTCCTTCTTTATTAATGCAACTTCACAGGAGAATTACTCCCTCTGATACTTTCAGCAGCACATATATTAGCTGCATTTTCTGAGCAGCAGGCAAGTAATTTACTAACCCCACCATGCACTAAAACAGAGGTTATGTCCCACAACCACAGGAGAGCAAGGCATGGCACAAACCCTCCCGAAGCAGCTTCAGAGAGGGAAACAGTTCAGCTAATACCCAGCCACTTCTACCTGCAGGTGCAACTGCCCCTAGCTGACTTTACTCAGGAGTAGGGAGTACACACACTTACGGGTGTAATTTCTGTTGCACTTTAAGTCTTACTTAGAGAAAGTTTCACCCGTGATTACACCCCCTCACTTGAAATTATCATCCCTCGAATCRGCTGGGAAAGTAAATCCTGTGAATGCTGGCAAGTGAGCTAACGCGAGCGGTGGACTCTTCACTACATCCCTGCTAACCTGAGTAATTCTGACCGAGAGCAGACAAGCTCTGCTGCCATCTAGCAGGGGACAGCAACATCCCGCAGAGCCCGCGCGGAGCGCTTGGCCTACAGACAAAAGCTTCTTCCCCCAGCAGAACCCCCGAACCTGCACAGCCTGACGTGTTGCTACTCATGCGGGTTGCCCTCTATTAACAGAGGCCTCCAAACCACTTGATGCAAAACCATCTTCAACGGCCCAGGCCTTCTGCAAAGTGAAAACTGGGGGGCAGCCACGCACAGACACTCCCCAAGTGGCTTAGAAGAAAAGTCAGAGGTGAAGGGAAAGTGGCACCACCTTGAAAGGCACAGATTGGGGGCCTTCGACCTGTACGTGAGCGCAGCCTGGGTTAGTGCACGGCTGTCCTAGCCTAAGTCACAAAGTAACTTACCCGAAATGCCTTTAAATTGTTGCAGGTAGAGGCATTTTATCAAGGGTATGCGATGGAGTTTCGGATTCTTCAGACTGCACTGCAAGTTTGAACTATTGAAAAAAAAAAAGACCGACTTGACATGAAAAGCACTTGTCCTGTTTTCTGCCATTTGTGCCTGCTAAGAGGATGAGATTTRCCACTTGCAAGGTGGTAACACAGGTTCCAATTTTTGTGGAATTTGATACATATTTTGATATGAGAAAAATATAGTTTTATATATATTTATCTTTCCACTTAAGTGATTGCTGATCAGTGTCTTTTCAATAYTTGCTTCCTAGTTCAGATCT